CGCGACAGCATGGAATTGGCAAGACGTCTGCGACCAGGTGCCCCCTCGCACCAGCGAGGTCCTCGCCGCGGACGGGCCGCGGCAGACGAAAGCGCGCGCTGAGAGCGCAGTCGCTCCTCCAGCGACGCCGCTGCAGCTGCGCCCGCGGCCCTGTGGCAGGTCGCCGCAAGCGACGGGCGCCGCCGACGACGCGCGCGCGTCGATCGAAAGCCGCGGCGTCGCAAGCCCCCGCCCCCCCCCCCTCCCCCGCCGCTTCCAGAAGAGGCCCTGCGCCGACGGCGAAGGGGCGCCGACCATGGCCCGCGCGCGCGAGCATCTACGACGCGCGTCTGCGCCGACGCCGCCAGCAATCCGCCTGCCGCTGCCGCGGCCGCAGGGCCGCGCGGCCCAATTCAGCGGCCAACTGCCCGCAGACGCGACGGCAGCAGGCGGCGGCAAGGGCCGGGTCGACGGGCGAGAAGAAACCGCTCCCATTATTACCAACGCCAGAACCACCGAGACCACCCCAAGTATCGACGGCGCACATCGCTGCCAAGACGCCCACTGGCACCCGCAGGGCCCGGCGCAGGAAGGATACATCCCCGCCGCGTTTTTTGTTTGGAATATATATATATATATATATATATATATATATATATATATAAGAAGCCGTGAGCCACCCCGACTGCAACATCAACCAGGCCTGTAATATTTGCACAGACTAGAGGACGCGCGCATGGTCATGCGCTGGTCGATCAACAAGGGCACGCACATCCGCAAAACATGGGCCGAGGGCCGCCCGACCCCAGAGCGCGGGCATCGACCATCCGCGCGCGGGGCGGGAGGGCGCAGAACGAAGCGACACGCCAAGCGCACGAACAGGAGGGAACCCGCTCCACTGCTCCACGGGTCGAATGCGAGGCTCGCGTCGCCAGCCTCGCAGACGTTTTCGTCAAATTGCGCCTCGTCATAAACACGGAAGACCTGGGCGAGTACCGCGGGGCAGCGCACGACAGTCATATGCCGCGCCATCTGCTACAAGGGGACCAAGCACCGTCGGACCTACCAGCTGCAGACGCGGTGTCCATCGACGGCAATCACGACCACCATCTCTAATCTTACCAGTTCGGCTCAACCCACCGACGCAGCCCCCACCCGCCGCGCTGCCACCCATCGACGGGGACTATCGAGCGCGGAAGACAGCTGCACCTGAAGCGACGACCCAAGCCTCAGTTCGGCAATTCTAAACCCCTGCCTTGCGCCGCCTGCAGGACGATTGATACGGGCCACCCTCGCAGCGAAAAGCACCTGCATCAATGCCGCATCTCCCAGGGTCAGACCTTAGGCTGCAGCCGCCTGGCCCGCCCTACCGAAACGTATGGGGGTGCGACATGGAGGAGGTATGCATGAATGGAGACGGAGGAGGTGCAGGAGGAGGAAGGAGGAGGAGGAGGAGGAGGCTGGAGGATGTGGAAGAAGCCCGAAAGCCTCGAGCATCGAACGTCGATCAATCGACCGATATTCAATCGATCGAACACGACGGCGACGACGCACGCCGCCGTCAGAAGCTCCAGGCCGCGGATAAGAAAAGGGATGGAGGCGAGGGAAAAGGAGGACGGAGGAGGGGGAAGAGAGTGGAGAAAGCCTGAAATCCTCGAGTCTCGAGCGTCAATCGATCGATCTCGAGGACGCCAGTGGTCATGATGATGATGAAGAAGAAGATGCAGACGATGCTGATGATGATGGTAATGATGATGGTGGTGGTGGTCATGGGATTGATGATGACGACGATGACGAGGAGAATGATGATGATGCTGCTGCTGATGATGATGATGATGACGAGGATAATGATGAGAATGATGCTGATGTCGATGCTAACGCTAAGAATGATGCTGCTGATACATATTACGACGATGATGTTGATGACGATGATGATGCTGATGATCCTGATGATGATGCTGATGATGATGGTGGTGGTGATGATGCTGGTGATGATGATGGTGATGATGATGATGCTGATGACGATGATGATGACGATGATGGTGATGATGATAATGTTGATGATGATGACGATGATTAGATTGTTGTTGCTGTAGATGATGATGACTGTGATGTGTATGATGGTGAGGTTGGCGATACGGATGTTGATGATGTCGATGAGTATGTTTCTATATGCAGATGTGGATTTTGATGTTTTTTGATGGTGATGATAATGCTGCTGCTGATGACGAGGATGATGATGATGAGGATGAGGATGAGGATGATGATGATGATGCTGATGCTGATGCTGATGAGGATGATGAGGATGAGGATGAGGATGATGATGATGATGTTGACGATGATTGTAATGTTGATGATGAGGACGATGATAATGATGATGATGATGATGATGGTGATGATGATGCTGCTGCCGATGACGACGATGACGAGGATGATGATGATGATGATGATGATGCCGATGCTGCTGAGACTGATTACGACGATGATGCTGATGAGGATGAGGATGAGGATGATGATGATGACGATGACAGTGATGACAGTGATGATGATCCTGATGATGATGATGATGATCCTGATGATGATGATGATGATCCTGATGATGATGATGATGATGCTGATGATGATGATGATGATGATCCTGATGATCCTGATGATGATGATGATGATGATCCTGATCCTGATGATGATGATGATGATACTGATGATGATGATGATGATGATGATCCTGATGATGATGATGATCCTGATCCTGATGATGATGATGATGATCCTGATGATGATGATGATGATGATCCTGATGATGATGATGATGATGATGATATGATCCTGATGATGATGATGATGATGATGATGATGATGATGATGATGATGATGATGATGATGATGATGATGATGATGATGATGATGATGATGATGATGATGATGATGATGATGATGATGATGATGATGATGAT